AAATCTAAATATGCTATTTGATAGAGCTCATCGAGCGGTATCTGGCACACAACATCTCATGACTGGCACAGACGTCTGGGGAATCGTCCTCAGAAAAACTCGAGTCAGCCGCTAACTTCACGTTCATGAAAAACTTATATTTTTTGTGCTTGATTATTAATGAAGATATCTATCAAACATACGATTTGCAGTAATTTTGTCGTTGGTAGATAGATCTGCACAAATGGAACCGAATAAACTCATAGGAATACTTACTACCGAGACTATATCAACCTGCTCTAAAACTTATCATTAGTTTATTGTACATAAAATCCTTCACGCATGCTAGAAGGTTATATAATTAATTAACCAATAATAGTTGTAAGCCTGAGATTAGTTTGTTATTATTTTTGCAAGGTGTCGTGAGGACATCATCTGATCAATGATTTGAAGAGCGAATGATTCTCGAGAAATCAATCACCAATTATACTAATGTGGAATTTCGCTTTTTTTCATTTAGTATTAGTTTTATTGTTTTCCTTTGTACTTCAATGATTTCGTTAGGTATAATGAACGACTATGAATACTGAGATCGATCATATTGTACGGTTTTAGATTTTTGATGTGAGTCAATTTTAATAGCACCACTTTCTTAGAATTCAATTTTTAGAAGTATGCAAACACCTCAGGCCTACGTAATAACTTTTGTGGAAAATTAATCGATCGTGATCAGAAAGTGTTAACCACTGTAGCACCGGCTACTGATTGAACAACGACGAAAAACTGAAGCTGCATATGTGTGAAAATATCTTTTGCTAAAAGCGATATGTGAAGCGCTAAATAACATAATTTTGTGTGTGAGAGTAAAGTCACAAAAAATGCATCCACATCTAAAACCTACACTTGCAAACTAAATACGGTACTAAGCGTTGTAATCTGTCAAAGTTGAACCATATCCATGAACAAATAAAAGTGATATACAAACATGACTTCTCCATTTCAATACTTTGCTACCTGCCTATTTGAGCTATTAGGTTCTTCTTGTCTATCCATTTTTTTCTCGAAAAAGTTGTTTTGAAAATAATATCTTATATTGTACATTGTACTATCCCTAGCATCATTGGCTTTTTCAATATTGTGTTATTATTTATTAAAAGTACACGGAATTAAAGTGATAACACATAGGAATAACGATCGTATTCATCAAAACGTAGTTCGAAGTTCCATCGAGTAGTGCAAAGTAGCCTAAAGTACTGCAAAGTAGCAGAAAGTCCCACACATGTAAGCCAAAGTACCACTAAAGTAGCCTCAAAGTTTGCAAAATCAACTTGAAGTAGTTCAAACTAGTCTTCAAGTAGCTAAAAGTAATTTCAAGTGCAAAAGTCCGCCGTTTGTCTCTTGTCAACTGAACAAATAGGAGGTGTGGATATTGTGTCATTTATTAATAAGAGAACTTTGTTAATGCATACCAACATGTTAAAAAAATGCTACTGATGGATAATTGAATCACCTATGAGATTCATTATCTACCATCAGCTGTTTTCACAACTGCCATATATAAATTACTTGTTGCAAGAGTTTGTTGTTTATCCTTTTTATTGTTACTGTTTTACTTATGTCGAATCTTAAGGAAAACAATGCTCATATAAATCTATACTTGTCGATCTTTCTGTGAATAAACAGAATGTGCTACTAAAAATCAGAATCAAAATAAATTTCTCATCACTTAAACTTTTGATTCATCATCGAAAAAAATACATGTATTCCTAATACATCATTGGGCACTGACATTATAAATATTCTACTTCTGGGCAAAACATATCTTGAAGCATCAACTTTCATCAATGCTTTTGTCAACTATTTTACGTTCAAAACACTCCAAAAAGCTCAGACTGGTCAACCAGTTCCACTCATACCTGTTTCATTTATGATCACGGTCGATGACAACTTTGAAGAGCATATTGCTAAATTTGATGATATAGATGATTCAAATAATGAAGATTTTGATCATACTGGTCAACCCTTCACACAACATAGTAAATCATACACATTTCACCTTAATGATTCTGATCGGAAAAAAACTAGGCATTATTGGTACACCTGATTTGGCGACACACAAAGTATTGAACAAGATTATCTGAATATGGAACATATTTTAGAATATGTGAATAATCTTATTCATATGGGTAACAGTCTCGAATGTCCTTTAGAAATGGTCCTTAGTGGTATGGTCCTCCGAAAAAACGTTTTCCATTATCAAAATGTTCTTTTACTAAAATATGGATAACGCTCGGTGATGATGTTAATCAAGTAATTTTGTTTATTACAACGGAATAGCTTTTATTTTATTTTTCATACGCAACAAAAAAAAGAAAGTCTTTGTAATAATTCTTGTGTCTTAATCTTGTTTTTGTTGAACCGATCATATAATTCTTAAGTTCGTTGTTCAGCAATTCTTGCTTGAGTTCATTTTGTACGAGATTGGATTCCATTATTTATTTGATAAATCAAATCATGAACGGTGTTCACTTCTTTTCGAATTGAATCAATGAACAACCATATATTGGGATGACTTTTATATAAACGTTTTTTTAAACCTATGGTTACATCCTAAAAATATACGGTGTTCTACTTGCAAGTTGCAACTGATATTTTGGCTTCACATACCTTCACTAAAATCATTAGTTCTATCAGGAATGTCAAAAACATTCCACATTAGTGTTTGATGCATCCAATGATTGTTAAAATATTTGAGTAAATCAGCTATTTCGTCACGTTCAGAATCAATTAGTTCTTATCCAAGGCGAGCAAATAATGATGGAAGATGTTGTTCTGGTACTAAAGCTAGTTTCATCGTTTTTCGAATAACACTGTGTATCATAAGATTATCTAAATAAACTGCTGATAAACCACCTGATTTAACATGTCCATATATGGATTGAGAGAAATGAAAAAAGCAACCTTTTCGGACAGTTTTTTCTGTAAACTATAAAATAAAAGATATATAAGTGTTAATCAGAAAGCTTTGATAATTGTGAAAATAATTGTACCTCGAGAATGATTGCTTTTGCAATACCTGGGTCGAAATCTGTCATTATAAGTAGAGGATCAATTTTTTTGTTACATTTGTTTGGTTCGGCAAATAAAACATTAAATAAATGAACATATGTTACAGCTTTGCGATTAGCAAGGAGTGCGTACACTACCGGCACATCTATTGTAATGAAAAAACATTTCATTAGTATAAAAAGAATTTTTACTATTTAGATATCATTAAATAGAGATAACCTACACGTTCCATGATGAATAGCCTGAATAATAAATACTTGGCTGAAGTTCGGTGGAGAAGTACGAAAAGTACCATCCATATGCAATCTTTCACTATCAAATAACAACTTCAATTGAATATCTGATGACTATACTAAAATTCTTCCTGTAGACTGTACATTTTCTAATTGATTGATTTGAAATTTTGGATCATCATTATCATATAATAATAATCGATCATTATTATGATAATCTTTTGTATATATACCAGAAATAAAAAAAGAAGATGATTGTGGAAGAGGAGGATTCATTATCCGGCGACTATGTACTAGATTATGACCTGAGAGAAACAAAAACAAAAACGATAAGTGGGTTTACTTTACATAAACATATTAGTATCATATCGATATTAGCTACACGAGGTAGAACAACAAGAGCTTCAGATGTAAGTAAAGCTTTACGTATTTCTCGCTCAGCAACTTTTTGTAATGATAATAATTCATTTTCAGCTCTTTCTCGCATTGCTTCTCTCGAATGTCGTATTTCTAATTGTGCTGGATTCGGTAGATGAGAATGATCAGTAACTTTTCAAGTAAAACGTATAAATTCATCATCAAGATTTGTATGTAAAATCATACCAAAACTTCTATTAGCACACCACCAAACTTTAATAGTTTTATTTTTATTAAAACTTTTGAATTGAAAATTACTTAGGGCAATCCAGGTACCTTATTTTTTTATAATAGGCTTGTTGAAATTTTCTTTTTGTATGAGATGATAGAGAAAACGAAGCTCTATTTTTCTATGCTATTTGATCGCTATTCAAGTGCCACCATAATAATAAAATTTCGATAGAAACTGTTTTTGTTGAAAACTAAACTATTCAGGAGGATCATTCCGGTCGTCTGAAAGGCCATCGGAAACGGCCTGAAACGGCTATTAAACGGCATTAATTTTCACCCTATTTCGACGTAATCCGTCAGCTCGTTTTACGGGTCGTTTTTTTGCTAGAAAACGGCCATCGCTTTTAACGCTATTCTCTTCGTTTTCCGAGATGACGGAAAACGGCGCCGTTTTTTAACGTTTTACATCGTTTTTATGCCGTTTCAGGCCGTTTTCTTCCACGTGGGTATCGGTTGAAGCCAATTAAATGACTACGCTTTGTATTTGAGTTTTCAATCAGTTAACACGTTGTATTAGAAAATAAAATATATCACAATATGCAACGCGAAAAGCTTTACAATTTACATAAGGCCGCTTGTTGTATAGTTGCACTTTTTGTTTTCAAATGAATAAAATTTTGAGTCAAGAATTTTCGATCGTACGAAAACGATATATTTTTGGTACCAGATGAATTCATTTTTACTTATTTAATTCTTTTATCGCCTAATATCTTTTATTTGAAAAAAATTACATCACAAGATGCAACGTGAAACGCTCTACAATCTACAAAGTAAATCTTATTTTAATTGTTTACTTCTTGTTTTCAAAAAAAAAAAAAAAACTTTACGCAATCAGTTTTCTCTGTCCCAAAAAACAACTTTTTTTGTGTATAAAGAGAAATTCCTTTTTTTCTTATTTCAGTTATAAAACAAGGGGTCTTATGTAAACTGTAGAGCTTTTCGCGTTGCATATTGTGATATATTTTATTCTCTAATATAGCATGTTAACTGATTGAAAACTGAAATACAAAACGTAGCCATTTAATTGGCTTCAACCGATAGTTAAGCTTTCAACAAAAACAGTTTTTATCGAAATTTTATTATTATGGTAGCAGTTGAATAGCGGTCAAATAGCATAGAAAAATAGAGCTTCGTTTTCCCTATCATCTCATATAAAAGGAAAATTTCAACAAGCCTATTATAAGAAAATAAGATACCTGGGGCACTACTTTTGGATTGCCCTAGGTATAACCATCGATGAACAACATTAATTTCCGTTTATTTGTTTTTGTTTTTGTAACATTCGATTTAGCTGAAGTTGATAATGATGATGAATTTTCAGTTGAAGAAGATGATGATGAGGTCTCATCCATCATAATATGTTGCGATTCCATTTTAAAAAAAAATATTTGTTTTGGGTTATTTATAATATATTGTTTAGACACAAGTAACCATAGTTTACTAAAGTTTTCTTTTTTTCTACCTGATTCATTTTACATAGAAATCCTCTATATAAACAACTTAAATGTGTCGAAATATGTTTGGATTACAGCGTCTTCTATGTGTCGAGTGACATGATATTTAAAAATCAACAATTCAGAACGAGAGATATTTTTACATGAGAGACCATTTCTCAAAGACATTTTGCCACAGACATTTATTCCGAAAGACATTTTTTCAAGGACGAAATTTGGAGAACATCTTTTACGAGAACGAAAATCCGGGGACATTTTGTCGAGGACATTTTCTAACGGACATTCTAGCATATATTCCTCATTTAAATACATTTTGTTTTCTTCTCAAAATAGATACATTGACACTGAATATCTACTTTTGATTATGTCTCAAGCAGACAGACATGTCGGTTTCTCTACCAACTTTGTACAAAAAGGGAACAAACTACTTGGTGTTTGTGTTCATATGAATTTCTACTGTAAGTTTCACAAAAATTCCAGTCTTTGCTCATCTTTTTAGCAAAATTTCCAGCATTTTCACTCCTATTGTTCTTTGTTTCGTATATTTTATGGCACTTTTGTGCTAAAACAATGCAATCTTGTTGGAATCAAAAAGACTTTGAACAAGAGGTTACTACTTTATCTTGAATATCTTACGGTAAACTAGACGTAAAGTTACACTGTACTTTCATCTACGTTAAATAATGATTTGAGAAAAGAGAATATAAAATTTATCGATTCTTGAAAAGGAATCATATATATTCATTAATGAAAGCAAGGAACAATAAAGCATAGATACTGTTCTATAACACTTTTTGTGAGGTATCTTATAAAACATTGTGAAACAACTTTCTTTTGGTGCTTAGTTTTAGCATAGATGGAACTTTATAGCCTAGAATATAGGATTTTAGCGATTAGAAACTCCAAAAGTGATATAAGTTTCACTTCATCTCTTCGTNTCAAACTTTATCAAGAATGGTTATTGTTCAAAAATACCTTTATCTTAACGAAAAAACTCATACTGAAAATTTTGACGAACCAATTATAGATTTGGATTCTTCGACCCGGATCACCATTAGCCAAATTTTAAAAAACTTGTAACTTTTAGAAACGACCTTTCGTTCGTTGATCTTTGAATTATAAGGATCTTTTATGATTGTTTTATAGACATTAAGTTTGAGATGGTCTTATAGATTGAAGTCTAATGACTTGAGCTCTAATGATTGAGGGATATATGACATTGGTCCATTTCTTCCGATCCATCTGTTTTCGATGGTTTGGTTCAGTCCGACGCCGACTGATACCGAGAAATGGGTCGGTGAACTATCTTGCTGAAAATGATGAAGTTATTAACCTGTTTCTTCTTTAAAGTCAGACAATAAGAATTATGAGCATTTTGAAAGAATTGTCTTCAATTAGTGTTTCATCTTTGAGAACAGGTAGATTGGGACAGATAGACAAATATCATGGCTCACTCAAGCATCAGACGTCGCACCATTGGACTTCTATCTATAGGACCCTCTCAAGCCCAACGTCTATAAAACAACTATAAAATATCTATACACTCAAGGATCTGAATAACGAAAGCAAGCGATTTAATAAAAAACAACTTTGAATGATGCTTTTTTTAAATCGTTAAACACTCAGTTTTTCGTATTGATATCCAACACAATGCTATTGAAGAGTACTTATGAACTTTATCTTTATGAAAAATAAAACTTGCCGGTGTTGTCTTGAAAGTCAAAAAAATATTAGACTAATCTAGATTAAGAATGGAATCAGACACAACTGTTAAGTGATCATAAATTTGGGAACATCCTTTACATGATTTGATAGAGTTTAAAAAGTTAATTATGAATACATGTTATTTTGCATTTCGATTCGATCGCTGTTTAGCTAAAAAAACTTTGAACACATTAATTCACCAAAATCTAGTATTTATATCCAGAATATATACTTTTTCTACAGAATCTATTTCATTTCGATCATACGTATTTCACAAAACTTTTGAAAATATTACATTCTTAATCAGCATGAAAAACAGTAGA